ATGGATCAAAGTTTGTTTGGAATGAGGAAAAACGCTATATCACACCTTTGTATGATGGTGAACAAAGAAAAAATCTATCAACATTTAAGACCGTAGTGGTGGATAGTGAAGAAGATCTCTAACAAATTAGGTGTCTCAAAAGCTCCAGTCGTGGTTATAGATTGTTCCAAACAAAATGAATCTGTAAAATCTTCAAGCGTGGATATAAAGTTGTAATTGGAGTTGGATGAAAATAAACCTGAAGGAACATCCGCTTATTGTTTGATTTTGCATGATAAGATTTTAACATACACCCCTCTAAAGGAATTGTAAAAGTAGTGTTGTATATAGAAACACTCGTTGTGGGAGGGTATAAATAAAACTCGGAGTAAACGGAAAGCTTCAGTTTATCCATACTCTCAGTACGGAAAACATCGCTTTCAAAGATGGGATCATCGCAGTGTGCAACGGATACAACAACAACGATGTTATTAAAAGATAAGAAAACAAAAACCAATGTAAAGAAGCGGTATCTGAATTTTTATATTTTAACGAAGAAGAATCACGTACAGAAAATGATGTAAACACCAACAACGTAACGAAGGTAATCGGAAAAAGGAAAAGGAAACAAGAAGAGGAAATGCCACTACACAAGTTGATAGAAGTATTTCTTCGTATATCATATCCAGTTTCAAGATGTATGACAAAAATTATATCTATCGGTATGTACAAACCGTTGGATTATTCTCCAACAGTGCTATTGAACCATGGTGCTAAAACTTTGTTGTTTTCGGAAAATGCTTGGGAATCGTTTATTAAACATTTGCATTTGATAGGAATGTTATTTGGAGAACAATCTGTTTGGAAGAAAAACTGCAATCAGGCTCTCAGACTGCGACATCGAGATAGATGTTGTTAAACAGCGAGGGGGAGCAGCAAGTTAGATTTAGGGAGCTAACCAAACACGATGAAAGAATTTTACTTACCAATTCTGAATTTTATTTATTGAGTTGTGCTACATCATCGATAACAAGATACATGAGACAGCTAGTTTTTTCTTCCCCTGTCGTGAAAGATTACTTAGTGGAAACGATGGAAAAACAACCAGACGTTCAGATATTGCATGGACCTGTGGATACATCGATTTTCAACCGGATACCTGAAGAGGTGGAAATGTGGAGACAAGTTAACGCGTTGGAACAGAGGGAAAACATCGACGAAGAAAAGATAGAAGGATCTAGTTCTGTGAGTGTAACGGAGGAACAAGTGACGGAGGAAAACCACGAAACAATTTCAACAGTAGCAGAACAGACGAGTGATGTTAAAGGTGTAATGAATTTGCAAGACGGAGAAAAATAGAAGAAATAAAAAAAGGAAACAACAGATAAGCTGTAGCAGATGTAAACAGGACAGCAAATATGTTAACATCACGTGGGGTAGGCCTACTGGGGGGGGGGGGGGAAGGTGCCCACGTTAAATATACACCAACGCGCTGACAACTGTACGGCCTGATCTATAAAAAAAGGGATCTACCGTGGTGTGGAAACCAGTTGTTATCTTAAAACGATATGGAGAGGAAGATTTCCTTCGCTGACAGAGTTGAAGAGATTCAAGAAAAACCTTGTGTAGTAGAATTTCAAGCTTTTCGAGGAAACAAAAATGAATATATCATAAAGGAACTAGTATTCCTAGATTTTAAATACAGGGATTGTCTTTCCATTTCTATTTGAACCTCCAT